ATATATATATATATATATATATATATATATATATATATATGCATATATATATATATATATATATGCACAGTGCTCCAATAATCTGTGTCTGACTGTGGCCCATCACACAAAACGAGGGCGCACTTTCCATGTGTGACAGCATCTGGGCACTCAGGAAGGCTTGGGGTTTGGGGCATCTCAGACTTGAGAAATTCGGGTTAGAGATGCTTGACATGGGAAAGCTCTGCTCCTCCAGCCAGTATTTGTACTTCTGGAACTCCTACTGTAGTGTCTCATGATTCTCAGGTAAACATTTAATTGTTCTTATAAAAAGGGTTAGGAATCCTAACATGTTTAGTTTTCACTGAACAGAAATAACGTCAGTATTAGAAAGTATAAAAGCCGACCAGTTGGCCTACTGTGAGTATAGCAGCTAAAGACAGTATCTTGGGCTCACGTGTTTACCTTAGAGTATGTAAGCTACCCAAAACTGGGAAACTTCTTTATTGTAGTGATACTTTACTAAAATGAATTTTACTAAAAATAAACTTGAAACAGTTTAAACTACATTAAACCATAGGTCATTAACTTTAAAACCTTATTTAGCATAAAAGAACAAACATTACCTTTCAACGCTCATACTTTTCCTTTCTCCATCCCTTGAAATGAGAAAAAAAAGGGCTTTATTTTTTTCTGAAAAGAAAACTGAGTTCCTTTTGATCAATTAGAGAATTTAATATACTTGTTTCAACTAAGTGCCTGACTGAGTAGTGACTTAGTTTTATGTGTATGTGCTTGCCTGTGTGTGTGTGTGTGTGCGTACCATGCGTGCAGTGATAACAGACTACAGAAGAGGCGTTGTAGTTCCCGAAGCTGGAGCCGCCTTCTGGGGCCACCAGGTAGGCAGTAGGAGTCGAAAGCAGGTCCTCTGCGAGATTAGCTAGTGGTTTTAGCTGCTGAGCCATCTCTCCAGCCCCCTAACGTTCTCTTTAAATACTTCATTAAGATATATATTTTATAAAAAATACAGTGTTTTTTAATCTAAAAATGGACCTGTCACTAAGACAGACAGGATATTATTTTGATTTCATGTATTATGGATCAAGTCTATACAGCAGAAAACAAATCTGAAAATAGGTGCAGAAGTTGCTTCTATTACAATCTGAGAATTAAGGTGCACAGCATATGACCATAGGAGCAGCACAACAGTGGCCAGCAACAGGATACAGCGCCTTCCACAGAATTCCTGCTGCTTCGGTTGCGGCCCGCACACAGGCCTCTCCTACATGCCATTCATTGTTCATGTCTCAGTCAGAATCTGGCTCATGACCGAGAAGCTAAACCAATCACTTGACTGGACCTGGCTGCTCTGAGAGCAGCCGCTGCACTAAAGAAACGGAAGTAACATGTGCCCTCTTCATTGCCCAAAAACTAAATGGATGTGATATGCCCAAACTGCTCGAGAACATAGACAGAATGATGAATAAAACATACCAAGTGTTTGTCTTAAGACAGTCACAACCAAAACAACAAAAACAGTCCAAATGAATTTTAACAAATTTTGAAATAGCCTTATCTGAAAGGTTCAAACTGACACCAATAAATGATCATGAGAATGATAAAAAGCTGAATAACTGTGTAGATACCTTTCCAGGTCTGTTGAACCTAGCCCGAGGGCGATGTGAAGAAAATAATGCCAAGACGTCTCCGAGAAGAGGAGAGAGAGCAGTGCTCTCTGCTGGTAGAGCTCTGTGCAGGTAACAATTCCAAGAGCCATCAACATTTTCTCCGTGACTTTCCCTACTCCAGAGACCTGCAAGAGGATCCAGTGGTCAGGGTGGTGCAGTCAGATCTGAACCAGGATTTACAATTTAGGATTTTTAAGTGACATTATAAGTGTGTGCGCGTGTGCGAACATATGTATGTGTAGTGTGTGCACTCGCGTGTGTGTATGTGTGGTATGTGCATCTGTGTTTGTGCACTGTGTGTGTATAAGCGCATATGAGTGTGTGTATGTGTGCATGCCTGTGTGTAAGCGTGTGTGTATATGTGGTGTGTGTGTGTGTGTGTGTGTGTGTATGTGTGCTTGTGTGTGAAGCAGAATATTGCCGGTGCTGAGGCTTGAACTCAGAGCCTTGAACATACAAAGTAAACAGTCTGCTACTGAATGATATTCCCAGGTGAAGAGCATAATCTGTGGCTAACAGGTATGAATAACATTATTCTTTAACATGTCATGCAAGAAAGCTGTTATTATTCTTGGTCACGTAGCCTAATTTGATAGAAATTTGAACGGCACTTAAAAAAAGAGTTCTGTGGGCATACAAATTTTGAAAATAGTAGAGCAAAAAAAAATAAAGTTTTTTGGTACAGTGTTACGATCCATTAACATACTAATACTCCAAAGGCTTTAGAACTTTGGATTTGACAAAATTAAACCAAAGTACTTTACCATCTTTAAAATGATAAAACTTTATTCTTTTTTAAACAATTGAACTGAATCCTATATGATAGCCTAGAGCCTGCTCAAAATATTGGAAGTGATTGAATTTATATAAGGTATTGCTCACTGTTCAAAGAAAAGGCTGTAGCAAAGCTCAGTGTCAATGATTCCTGGATACTACATACACAGTAGATTTTTTTCCTAAGGTATGAATAGGTATTCTTTCTTTTCTTTTAAGTTCTAGATTCAAATATTGCGTGAATTCAAATATTGGTGTGATTTTAAAACCTCATTGGCCTGGTGGTGTACTCCTTGGGAGGCAGAGGTAGGTGGATCTTTGTGAGTTCGAGGCCAGCCTGGTCTACAACAAAGCGAGTCCAGGACAGCCAGGGCTACACAGAGAAACCCTGTATTGAAAAAACCAAAAAGAAAAAAAAATCATTAATTATAAAATAATAATTTTAAAATTCTTAATTATAAAAATAAAGAGGACATAGAACACCAAAGTCCAGAAGCTATAAATAATAAAATATGCCATTTCTGGAAACTTGTGGAATTTTTTTTTCATTTTAGAGATGATGAAGTATTTTGGTTTAATTTTGTCAAAAACAAAATTCTAAATCCCTTTGGGGTGTCACACCTATTCATCTGGCACAGCCTGGACTGGAGAACAAGGACAGCACTGAGTCAGAGCTGAACACATTCCTTCAAGTGCTCCTTTTACGTCCTTTGTCCTTGCTAGGGCCACACTTACAAGCTTATCACGTCTATTACGTTAAACTGTCCTGCAGATAAGCTCCTTAAATATTACCTTCGAGTTTCCACAGGAAGTTCTAAGTGCACCATTCAACCCCCAGCAGTTTTCACCAGCTCCCTATTATTCCACAGCTACTCAGCAAAGAACCCCTGCTGCCGGTCAGCGGTCTCAGCCGTCCTAACGTCCTAACGCGAGACTCACCGTGGGGACTCCAACCGGAACAGCAGTTAGTTGTTACTTCCTAACTGTAGCTTTGCTACTGCTGTGAATCGTAACGTAAATATGTGATATGAGGATAGCCGGTATGTGACCTGCAAGGGGTCATGACCCACAGGTTCAGAACCACTGGGACTCTAGCTCCTCTCCAGAATTCCGAGTATCTACACAAATGATACTTTTCTATAAGCTCTTACCTTTCTAATAGGCAAGTCCTTGATGAAGTCCATGACTGCCTGCCTGCTGGGGAGAACTCGGCACTGTCCGTTTGGCTTGTTCTTGTCACTGCACACTTTTGCTAACATTGTATTGGGGGCAATGCCTTAAAGAGAAGCGCACATAATCACTCACAGAAGCTGCCACACGGAGTTAATTATGTGACAGGAAAATGACGGTTAAATGCAAACAATCTGGATGACGCATAGTACTACTCTAGAAATGACATTTGGCTGCTGACGATCTGCCCAGGGCTCTCTGTGGTTTTAGAGAAAGGGAATATATTGACTATGACAGTAGGTGAAACAAGCCTTTTTTTTTGGGGGGGGGGACGACAAGATGGTTTAGAGACAAGGTTTCTCTGTGTAGCCTTGGCTGTCCTGGACTCGCTTTGTAGACCAGGCTGGCCTTGAACTCACAGGGATCTGCCTGCCTTTGCTTCCTCAGAGCTGGGAATACAAGCATGTGCCACCATGCCCAGCATGAGGAATATTTGAGTCTCCATATTTTAAAATTCAAGAGTAACTTCTGAACAAAGTAATACAAAGTATTTACTTACAACTGTACGAGCAACAAAGGGTTGCTTTGTACTGGATTCTTATTTCTCAGAAAAGAACTAGAATATAGTTTATGATAGATGCTTAGTTTTTAAAAGGTCTTTCTCAATGTAAATTTTCCACATTAAAAATTAAACATTCTGACATATCTGAAAAGCAACAGCAATAGAAGCACTTTTAGTCTTTCCCGTCACTCACAAAGCAAAGCACCACACACACACATTTTACAACCCTGGGAGTCTCACCCATCCATGGTTAGGTGCATCTACACACGCTAGCTAGCAGTTCATTCTGGTTTTTACAGATATTCTCCTAAAGCTCATTATGCATGGTTATGCTTCGAAATAGAAAAATTAATAGAATGTTTTCTATTCAGCACTTTTGTGGTAAATGGGTGTAAGCATTATCAGTTCCTAAGCTAAGGCCTTACAGTGCTCTTTGGGGTCACTAGTGAGACTTTTTTTTAACCTGATGCTGCAAGTTGATCTTTTTCATGGTGGTAGTGAGGAGAGGGTCATAAGCCTCATGTATGGTAGGCCCTCTCCTGCAAAGCAATCTAGGACAAGTGCCAATCAAACATTTTGTGCAAATCCAACTAAAATAAGTTTTGCACTTAAAGGATCACTATTCTAGATTTATGAAAGTTTCTTTGCCTTGGACCATAGGCTTTTTTGCTTAATTCCAGTTTACCTGTAGGTTTGGCCTCAGAAGCCAAATCAAATGTTACATCTACTTTACGATGAGGACCTACCATTGTAGCCTTGATTAAGCAGTATAGCTAACCGCCAGAGCTGTTAATACCCCTCTTAATACCTGCACTGGCTGTCAGTGTTGTTTTTTGTTCAATTCTGAAGCGAATTTCCTTTACCGCTTCCTCAGCTGATGTTCCAAAAACAACTGAATTCTCGAGTATTTGAGGGTTGTTTTGTTCTTCAGAGTTCACCTGGAAAGGATTTCCTTGGGGCTGCAAATCAGGAGGGCTGTCTTCAAAAAGCAGTGGGGAGACAGACTGCTCACGCTCACTCGGGGTGCTAGCTTCCTCTCCAGGATTATCTAAATCACAAACAGGAAAAGCAAGTCATCTGCATTTTAAGGTCCAGAGCTATATAAATATCTCCAAAAATAAAAACAAGAAAAAAAAGAAAAGCAAAGAAAGAAAGAAAAAAGAAAGAACGAAAGAAAGAGAAGGGAAGTATGCACTTCCTAGGTTAGGTTTAGGTTTCGCTCCATTCTTTCATTTTTTTCAATGCTTTCCCCCTTTCCAATACACTGTATTATTTTTCTCTCTTCCTCTGATCCCCTCTCCTCCCTGCCTTCCCACCTTCTCTGTGTGTACACACTTGTGTGTTGGCTTGAAGCAGTCTAGCAGCCCACACTGGCCTGAATTCCTGACGCTGTTCTCCAAGCCTTCTAAGGGTGAGATTACAGGCATCACTGCCCCCTCTTCCACAGTGCTGAAAGCAAAGCAATGCAATTCTGCTTCTAGGGACTGAGACAAGAAATGCCATCACAGCATCCCTGCAAGCCCAGAAGTCGGGGAGGCAGAGGCAATGGATCTCTGCCAGCTGGGTCTACAAAGCATGTCCAGGACAGCCATGGCTACAAAGAGAAACCCTGTCTCAAACGAAAACAAAACAAAACAAAACAAAACAAAACAAAACAAAAGATATCATTTTTTATGGTAACTATTTAATAAAGAAAACCCTGTCAGGCTTTCCTTAAAAGGAGCATCATCCACTTCTTTAGTGTATCTTTTAAAGGAAATATTTTATGTAAAACTCATAAACCTAGGGAATCCATTACTTTTTCTTTAAGAAAGAAAATATTTTTCACTTTCTTCTATAAGGAGAAAAAGATCCTTCTTAAGTTAAGATGAGGAATGTGGAGGAAAAAAACATTAAATAATATGGGTAATTGCAACCAAAATTAAATTTTGTTTGGGAGGATAAAAAATTTTCTTTATTCATGAAAGAAACTTTAAAAGTTTTAAAATACTCTGAAATGTCTCTTTTCAAATGCTGATTCCACTTTTAACTTGCTTCTTAATAAAACATTACTTTCATTGAGGGTACCTTTGCTATAAATAGAAATTACTCCTGAAAGTTGATCTTCTTTATACAAATTCTCAGAGTTTGATCCAATTAAGGAAGGCCCAAATTTAAGATAAAAAAGTGTAATTGCCAATACATTGGACAATGATATTAAAAAATAAAGTAGTTGGGCACAGTAGTGCATGCCTGTAATACCAGTGAAAGGATGAGGCAGGAGGATGACAGCTTGTGCTTGTCCTGGAAGGAAGAGGGAGATTCCCACACTCTCCTTTTCCTCTTCTCTCATACATTACATGCAAGCTGCAGTCTCCCGCTCTCCACTTCTCCCTGCTGCCCCCATCAGCCCTATCTCCCAGATCCACTCCTCTGAAGGAACACGTTTTCAAAATGTAAGATAACCAACTAGTTATTTGCTTAAGCTCATCTTTCAAATAATTTGTAAAATACATTTAACTTTATCCTGATAACAATACTAAAAATAGTCACATGAACAATTTCATTAAAAATATTCTCTAACTTATGGCCAACTGCTGGGCAGAGTGCATGGAATCTTATATAAGAAGTGGGAAATAGTAAGATCTGGAGAGGACAGGAACTCCACAAGGAGACAACAGAACTAGAAAATTTGAACACAGGGAACTTCCCAGAGACTCATCCTCCAACCAAGGACTAGTCATGGAGATAACCTAGAACCCCTGCACAGATGTAGCCCATGGCAGTTTAGTGTCCAAGTGGGTTACCTAGTAATGGGAAGAGGGACTGCCTCTGACATAATCTGATTGGCCTGCTCTTGGAACACCTCCCCCTGATGGGGGAGCAGCCTTACCAGGCCACAGAAGATGACAATGCAGCCACTCCTGATGGGATATGATAGACTAAGATCAGAAGGAAGGAGAAGAGGACCTCCCCTATCAATGGACTTGGGGAGGGGAATGTTCGAAGAAGGGGGAGGGAGGGTGAGATTGGGAGGGGAGGGGGAGGGGCTTATGGGCGGATACAAAGTGAATAAAGTGTAATTAATAAAAAATAAAAAAAGAAGAAAAAATTCTCTAACCTTAAAATAGGATAAAAACAATTTAAATGCATCTGTAAGATTAATAAGAGTTTTCTGTTCCTATTTCATAACATGTATATTTCCCAAATTGAGATAAATGCAGAAGGAACAATTAAACAAAAATTAAAGCTCAAATTAGCCTCACATTTAACTACATACCCTGCCTAGGCTGGTCTTGAACTCAGCCTTTCAGAGTGCTAAGATTATAGGTACAAAAATATAATGAGCTTAAATTTCTTAAATTAAATTTCAAGACACAGTTGACAGCACTTTACTTGAAAAATGAACTTGGTCTTTAAAAGATGTCTGACAAAAGCCAGGCAGCAGTAACACTCGCCTTTGATCCCAGCTCTCAAGAGACAGAGGCAGGCAGATCTCTGAGTTCAAGGCCAGCCTGGCCTACAGAGCAAGTCCAGGACAGCCAGGGCTGCATAGAGAAACCATATATAAAAACAAAGATTAAAAACAAAAACAAAACAAACAAATAAAAACAAACCCAGTAAATGTCAAAGATATGCAAATAATATAATAGATACTTGATTAGTTTCAAACTTTAATTATGGCGTATGAGTTAGTTTACAGATAGAAGTTTCCAAATCTGAATTCATAGGCCACATACACTGTACAACATTTTTACTATGATTTTACTATATCTGTGCTTCACGTAATTTTCATTTTCACTTTCTGTTTTTTAAACTTGAGAGCAATTTGGAGAGGAGAAAGAGGGTGGGACAGGTGATATGAGGGTTACCCAGAAGCCCCTTCTTCCAACTCACTGAATAGAAGTCAAGGTAAAGAGCAATAGACAAAATGCAGGCCAGGTACATCCTGCAGGTATGTAGGTACATCCTGGCAGGATAAGAAGTTAAATGTCCAGTTCCAAATACTCTGCAGTGACGCGCACTGGTGCCTCACAGCGAACTCACAGCAGCCTCTCTGCAGTGACGCGCACTGGTGCGCTCTACTCCAGGAAGCAGAGCAGGCTGCCTCTGGTACACTGCCAGCGCTGATGCAGTGACATAGGCATCTTTTTTAATCCCAGCTGTATTTTACTTCTGGCTGTGTAACCAACTGCTGAAGAGGTTTCTTCCTCCTGAATGGAATACCTCCACAATCTCCATACCTGAAGTATGGTATGAGCAACAACACTAGATTAGAGCATCCATCTGGATTTCAAGCACTCAAGTGTTGGAATGATGCTTTTGTGAACTGTGTAAAAGATTATCTTTGTATATTTAGATGCTGACTTCTGTGCCCAGAGAGTTGAGTACCAGCCACTTTGGTATTATTAAGCATCATCTGTCTCAATGTTTTGTAAACACTGTTCTCCATCACCTTCTGATTGGTTAAATAAAGAGCTGAACAGCCAATAGCTGGACAGGAGAGGAAGGAGAGACTTCTGAGTCCAGAGAGAGAGGTTCTCAGGTAGGGATCAGAGAGAGAAGGAGAAGCCATAACATCACAGATGATGAAGCAGGTGCCAGAACGAGACTAAGATGTCAGGTAATGAACCATGTGGCAGAACACAGATTAAGATAAACGGGTTAGCTGGCTGGGAACAACATGAGCGAAGGCCTAAAGCTCTACTAAGTAAAGGTCTCTGTGTTATTATTCAGAGAGAGAGGGAAAGAGTGTTACCATAGAAAAACCTATGGTAACACTCAAGTGTGCAGCATTTGGATTTCTTGCACAGCCTGACACTTGCCAGTTAGATTTGTAGGGCAAAGCAAACATAAAACAATGCTTATTATTTTATTTGTAAATAAAGACCATAGTTCACCACCCATTTCTAGAGAAAAGCATCTTTTATAGAAGGGCAGTAGAAAAATGTCTGACTTTACAGAAAGATCCATCCATCACCTGCCACTTGCAACACCCTGTAAATATAAGGTCTGCTGTTCGTTAGAGTCCAGCCCACAGAGAATTACGTATGAGAAACAGAAGTCAAATCATTTCCATTTGCTTAAGAATATGAAACAGAGGGAGAACACTGTGCAAATGAGCAAGATGAAAGCTCCTGATACTACAAAGTCACTTCATCCTTGTCAGTTTGGACATACAACACACTGAAAGGAGCACTGCAGAGAGTAAAAGCCACCTACCTTAAGCCCAAAGCAGTTTTTAAACACAAGGTAAGAGTATTTGTTACAGAGGACCCTTGGGGCGATTAAAGACAATCAGCTAATAACTCCTCCCCCTTCTCTCATGAAGGCTAAGGAACTAACAGAATGAGGCTTTTAAACATCAGACTTTATTCCTCTCATGCCTAAACAATAAGGTTACACCAAAAATCAAAGTCTTTTTGTTGTTGTTCCAAGCTTCTGTGTCGCTTTTGTTTTGGATGTTTCCAACAAAGAAAAAAGAGACCTACCCCTAGTAAAGAAGGTATTGAGCTTCGATTTGATGTCTGCAGTAAACCTGGGGCAAATAAGGCAAGCCCCTAACAGTGTGTAGTGGCGCATGCCTTTAACCTCAGAGTTTGAGGCCAGCCTAGTCTACACAGAGTTCCAGGACAGGCAGGGCTCAGGGCTACGTAGGAAAAAAATAAAAAGCCTGCCTCAAAAAACAAAACAACAACAACAACCAAAAAAAAAAAAAAAGGAAAGAAAAATATTTGATGCCATTGTACACCCATTTCTGCTCAAGGAGCACTGCTACCGTGCGTGCGTGTTGCTCCCCACCTCCTCCCCACCCCAACACACACTGCCTAGTCCCTCTGTGCTGTGAATAAGCTGCACACGTGAAATGGGGCTGTGGTTTGTGAGTGAGTCCCTTTGGGCCACTCTTTCAGCCGGGTTCATGGATTCACAAGCCAGAAGTAACAGCACTTCCGGCAAAGGGAAGGGAAGCAGAATGTGCGACATCCAACGTTTCGTGGCATTGCTTTGGATAAATAACACCCGGATCACTTGAAAGATCTACGGAGTGCTGAAACTTTTAATTGTGTAGAAAAGTCGGGGGCGGGGGGGGGGGGCTGGGGAGACGCCTTAGTGGGCAAAGCACTCAAGCTTGAGGATCTGAGTTCATATCTACCTACCTGCAGAAACGCTAGCCGCAAGGGGCGGTGGGAAGGACGGTGACACAGCAGACCCTGAGACCTTGACTCAGGAAAGAGCACAGGAGGAGGCAGCAGGTCTACCTCTGCCCCCTCCTGCTGTGCACACTAAGGTCTGCGGTGGGGACGGGAGAGGGAGAGCGTAAATTTTTGATTGAAAACAGCCACCTTACTGTATTAGAACTAAATTATGGAAAACCTGGGAAACAAAAATAAACTCCCTAAGGTTTTGGTGTGTTTGGGGCTAATCTTTTTTAAAGTCTGATTTCTATCAACCATAACAAAAGCCACTTTAAACAGAGAGCTTCCGCAGCTTCCATGTAATCCCAATGCTTTGATATTAAGAAAATAGCTGTTCTGCAACTACTCTGAAGAACAACTCTGTAGATTCTTTTTTGTTTGTTTGTTTTGTGTTTTTTGAGACAGGGTTTCTCTGTGTAGCCTTGCCTGTCCTGGAACTTGCTTTGTGGACCAGGCTGGCCTCAAACTTAAAATCTACCTGCCTCCCAAATGCTAGGATTAAAGGTGTGCGCCACCACCACCCAGCGAACTCTGTAGATTCTTAAAAGTCTGGAGATTTAACATTTTCATCTGAGTTCAAAAAAGACTGCATGTATTTAAAAAAAAAACCCACTGTATATTTTAAGTTTCTGATTTTTAATTTTTACAAAGACGATTTTAATCTCCTATAAACACTAATGAGTTAAATGGGTTAATTCAAAGAGCTGCTTTGTTAGTTTTTAGTTGGGAGTTCTAATACATTGCTCACCAATTTTTATGTAGTTTCCCGTTTTGATGAAATATCTTCTTTTGTCCTCAGGCCAGTCTTGCCTTTCCTGTAAGTGCTGTGTTATATTCAAGTAGGCTTCATCCAGACTCATGGCCATAAAATTGGGATCATATTCAGCAAGTATCTCCTTAACCTTCAAACAACAACAAAAAGTTTAAATTTTGCTGCCACAGTGCTGCTACAGCAAAACCTCCTCTTATCTGATAAAAAGCATGAATATTCTTACTTCGCAACTATAATGATCCTGCAATCGATAGTTCATGGATTGAAGAAATAAATAATTTACTACCAGTGGATATTTGTCAAATTCTCTTTTGTATTAAAATAGATCATAAAGGCAGAAGACCATGAAATAGCTTTATTTGAGGCAACCTGAATCCCAGCATCCTATATCTAGAAACACAAGCAAGCCAAATAAATCTCAAAACAGTACTCTGGTAGGAACAGAAAAAAAATGATTAAGATTTGAAGAAGCTGGTCAAAAGGAGGACTGTGCACGACAGTAACCTCCCTCATCTCATTTGTGGAGATATTTGTTCATAAAAAAAGTAAAAAGCACTGCCGTGTTTTAGAGAGCAGTAAATTTCAGTTAACTATAATGTGAACAATACAGAGAGAAAGTAAAACTCTACTACTCACAGGAAGCTGGACTGAGAAAGATGATAAATCTACAGAATAATTGCATGCTTGCATTAAACTACAGATGACAGTTTAGAGCTGCCCTGTGACATAAAAGGCATACACAAAGATTAGAACTACAGCTAATCTAATTCAGAAATGCCTTTTATACGGGATAGCTTTATTGCATGAATCCACAAAACAGTCTTTTTGCTGTTTGTCTTAACTACCAAAAAATTAGCTGAAATGGGAATGATTGCCAAAATAACCTATATAATAGAAAATATCTTTATTGTTATTCTTCATCTAACATTTAAAATATTTGTATCATAGCATTAGAAAACTTTGTTTTATTAAAAAAAGAAACAGTTCTATCTTAACGTAATTATGAACAACTAAGTGGAATTTCAGAAAATGGTGGTGAAAAACGGTATACTTTTATTCATTCCGAGTGCTTTAAATAGCTTTGTTCTTATAGAGGAGGCTATTTTATAACAGATGCAAACTATATTTCTAGTGAAAATAACTCTGGAAGCCTGTACCTGGCAGGCCACTCTGACTAAGAAGCGCTCCCTGGAGGCATGGCGAGTTCCCTCACTTCCTTCACATAGAATACTGCCACAAGAACTAAAACGGGCTGCTCCTGTAAATAGCATGCACTTATCTCTAAGAAAAGCAAAGCTAGCCTAATATTTGGGCAAAACAGAAATGGCCGATCCTTAAACCCGATTCTTAACCAGGCCAGAAACATTAATGTGTGGATACTGCATTTACATGTAAAACTCTACTAGCTAGACATTGCTGAAATTTAAAAATTTTTCTATCTCGTGCAATAAAACAGGTGATAGAAAACTAAAAATTTAACTGTCATGGTCATACTGTCAGAAGTTTTACTGAGTTACAATAGGATTCAAGATCTTTCTTATAAAGTCTTAAGATTTTTTTTTAAATTACTAAAGCCTGTACTTATTTATTTTTACCTATGAATACAGAAAAAAATTATCAAAAAATTATTCCCTTTGCTTACCACTTTCTCAAAAGTAGGCACAAAACAATTGATTTAACAGACTGATTCAAATGAATAAAATGGTTTTAATATGGAAGTAGTATTTCTAGGGAAAATAAGTAGAATAAAAATAAGTGACTTTAAAGTTCCTTTGCATGTCTAAATGATAGTACTATAGAGATTGTTCTGCAATCAAGAGCACATGCTGCTCATCCAGAAAGTCAGAGTTCAGCTCCCGGCTCCCGGGTCATATGTCGCACAACCACCTCTAAGTCTAGCTCCAGAAAATCTACTGACACTACGGCCGTCCACACACACATGTCTACCACACATAGGCATAAATACATACATGAAATTAAAAATCAATAAACAAACAGATCTTTCCATTTAGACAGTTTCTCTGTCTGTCGTCTGTCTCTCTCTCTCTCGAGATATGGTCTCCTATAGCTCAGGCTAGCCTCAAAATAACTGAGTGGCAAGGCTGGCCTCCATAGTGCAAGGTTTACAAGTCATGCTCAGACAGTCATCTATGACACACTTCATTTTATAATAGTCTAAACATGATGCATATGCAGCACTCTTGACTAACTCAGGAATTAAGCCCCTGCACCGTATGATAAATCTGTTTTATTGAAAACAGAAGAACAATACCTTTTCATGTAAGACAGTTGAGAATTTTAATAAGTAAACAAATCACTATATTCTTTTCAAAGCAAGGAAGTATCCCTTTTTCTTTAAGTCTCTTGGGCATTACACGTTCAAGTATACTAGCTCTGTAACATTATGAAGGAAGCCAAGCAACTAATCAAACTAAGTAAATTTTGTTACTATAAAGCACAGTCAAGGACATTTGCTCAACTATGTTCATAGCAGCTTTATTCGTAATAGCCAGAAACTGGAAACAACCCAGATGTCCCTCAACCAAAGAATGGATAAAGAAACTGTGATACATTTACATAATTGAATACTACTCAGCCCTTAAAAAAAAGGAAATCATGAAATTTGCAGGCAAATGGATGGAAATAGAAAAGATCATCCTGAGTGAGGTAAGGCAGACCCAGAAAGACACACATGGTGTGTACTCAATTATTAGCGGATATTAGCCACATAGTACAGGATAACCGTACTACAATCCACAGACCCAAGGAAGCTAAGTCACAAGGAGGGCCCAAGGGAGGATGCATGAATCTCACTGAGAAGGAGAAATAGAATAGGTAAAGGGAACAGCATAGGAGAGGGGTGCTGAGGAAAATGAGGGTGGGGATCTGATGTGATGAGAGGTGGGGAGGGCAAGAGGATAGAAGGCCTGCAGAGAAGAGAAACGGTGGCCTAGGGCATCTCTGAGACAGGCTCCTGGGAGGATATGGTGGTGACCCTAGTGGAGACCCCTAACAGCAGGGGACATGGAGACTGAAGAGGCCACCCTCCAACTGGACAGGACTCACAGTAGAGGAAGGGAAACACCAACCCACCCACAAAAACTTAGACCCAAGATTTACCCTGCCTACTAGATGTGCAGGGATAATGATAGAGCAGAGATGGAAGAAATGGCCAACCAATGCCTGGCCAAACCTGAGACCCACCCCATGGAGAGTCAGTGCCTGACATTATTAATAATATTTTACTATGTTTGCAGACGGGAGCCTAGCATGACTGTCCTCTGAGAGGCCTCGCCCAGCAATGGATTGAAACAGATGCTGAGACCCACAGCCAAACATTGAGTGGAACTCAAGGAGTCTTGTGGAAGAGTGGGAGGAAGGATAGAAGAACCCAGAGAGGACAGGGGTTCCACAAGACCAACAGAGACAACTAACCTACACTGGGGTAGGGGGTTGTGGAGACTGAAACACCAACCAAACCATATATGGACTGGACCTAGGTCCCTTACACATATATCAGATGTGTGATCTGATCATCAAATTTCATAACTTGATCTTCATGTTAGTTCCCTAGTAAGGGACCAAGGGGCAGTCTCTGACAAGGACCCTCTTATATGCTTTTTGCTCACTTCCCCCTGGTGGAGCTGCCTTGCTAGACCAATGTGGTAGAGGATGTGCTCAATGCTAATATGAACTTGATGTGCTGGGGCAGGCAGGTGTGTGCGGAGGGCTCCCATTTTCTGAGGGGGAGGGGAGGGGGCTACATGGAAGAGGAAAGGAGGGTGGGACTGGAAGGATAAGAGGGAAGGGGTTATGATTGGGATGTAAAGTGAATTAATTAACTTAAAAAGCACAGAGACAGGCTTAGTGATCCATTTCTGCAATCCCAGCACTCAAAGAATTTAAAGTCAGCCTAAGCTACATAGTGAGTTCAAGGCTGGCTTGGAACAAAACAAACAGCAACAACAAATTAATGATAAAAATGTTATTTAGAATAGACTGAAATTACTGATGAGCAGGTTCTGTAAATTAGAAATACTAGGTTGTTCTAAAAAATTATTTTTATACATCAAGAAAATACTGAAAATTAAGTTTATAAACTATTAAGGCTATACAAAGTTTTGAGAATTGATTGTAGAGATTTGAGAGATTAAGAGTAGATGGAAGAGTAGATGGAAGCTGAGAAACATGATGATACACTCTGGAAACTAGAAACAGTTCACCATTCACTATAGTTAAGACCTAATCTTGTAGTCTAAATCATCAGAGTTGAGTCTTCGTGACAGAAAGCCAGTAGTAAAAGGGTTTGGGGTGAGACATTCACTTACCTCCTTACTCACGGCTCTATATTTGTCAAAGTTTGGGGGCACTATAATAAGTTGTGGGCAGAGTCTCTTAGCAATAAATCCTGGCATGGCTGCACGAACACCAAACCTCCTTGCATGGTAATTTGAAGTAGACTGAAAGAAAATGGACCACACGGGGAAAAATAAACAACCCTAAATGGACATATTGATCAGTGCATTCATAAAAAACACATTACTGATTACATTTTCGATTCAAGGGCATTTCTTTTATAAGCCACTGTCTTGAACCACATCTTGACTTTCTTAAAAACCATGACCCTGTCTCACTGTTACTTCTAAATTTATAACACTAGGTAATAAGTAGTATTAAGCCAATGGGAAATTCTTTTAGAGTGGGTGTTGTGGTAGATATCGGCAAGTCAAGCCATTAGAAGCCTAAAGCAGGTGAACTTCTAGTATGAGGTTCAAGGTCAGCCTGTTATACACAGCAAATAGTGGCTTTAAATAATTTTTAAAAATATTTCCGGGCTGGAGAGCTGGCTCAGAGGTTAAGAACACTCGCTGTTCTTTCAAGGGTCCTGAGTTCAATTCCCAGCAAGCACATGGTGGCTCACAACCATCTATAGTAAGATCTGGTGAGCAGGCAGGATGTTATATAAATAATAAATAAATCTTAAAAAAAATATTTCCAGTAATTAAACGTCAATAGCTTGAAGGTATTCTGTAATATAGTATACAACTAAGTCTGGATGATAGTAGATGCTATATGAAACTACTAGTAAGTAAAATAGAATAATTATAAAGTTATAAGAAAATAACAATAGCATAAATGTTACATGAAGAAACACGCATAGGAAGTATTAGTATAATATAATATAGGAAGAGGAACCTTGTTTAAAACGTTTGGGAGCTGTAGTATTTCAGATTTACATTTTCAGTTTTGTAATATTTACCTAGATTTTTTCATCAGTTAATTATCCTTAACTGGGAATATCTGAAATACACAATGTTCCAAAATCCAAAAACTTTTTGTGTACACAAACACATATTCATGTGCATGCAAATCAAGGTCCCAGATCCAAATGTTTTAGTAATGTATTTCATACGTCTGGGATTGGAGATGCTTTAGGAGTAGTAGACACTTGCCCTATCTAGAAACCTTATTTTATTTTATTTTTTTTTTTATCAGAACAAAAAATTAAAGGCCTACTATCTGGTCAGCATCTTCAACAGATGGTGCTGGTCTAACTGGATGTCTACATGTAGAAAAATGCAAATAGATCCATACTTACCACCCTGCACAAAACTAAAGTCCAAGTGATCAAAGACCTCAATATAAAACCAGACACACTAAACCTGTTAGAAATTGACACAGGAGACAACTTCCTGAACAGAACACCAATAGCACAGGCTCTAAGAGGCTAATATCCAGAATATAAAAAGAACTCAAGATTCTGGAAAAGTTAATTGCACTCTGAACACATTACTAAGTTAGGTTATTAAACATTTTCTGTGAAAGTTCAGAGAGCACATAGTCACTCTAGGCTTTGCAGATGTGTTTTGTTAGATATTATCAGTTCTATTCAACTCTTCTACTGTGACAATAATAAGTAAGTGGCCATAACTTGTTTGTCCTAATAAAGTTTCTTTTAAAAAAATGGTAACAGGTCAGACTTGGTCTACAAGCCAGTTTCAAAACCTTTGGCTGAATATAAAGTTCCCTTTGCTTTTTCTTCACCTTTCACTAGAACTTTTGGAAAATTTAATTTGCAATGGAAGGATATGATGCTACTCTGCTATTTTATTTGAGTTTGGAACTTAGGGCAAGTTCCTAATTTTCTCTTTGTTTTCTTTTTCTCAAGTGGAAATAAAAGTTAGTATAGTCAGTTATATTAAAAGGATTCAGTAACTGAACATGTGAAAGCCTCCTGAAAAAGTGGTAAAGTACTCAGCAAACTGGCAAGCCTCAGAAGGCTTACCTGAGTAGGCTATGAGACTTCCCTTTTGTTTTGGATCTTCACCTACTTACCAGCATACTCATCGATCCTACAGCAATGGGTTTATCCCTCAATTCTGGGTTGTCCCTCATTTCTACAGCAGCATAGAAAGCATCCATGTCCACGTGAACTATGGTATTGTTCAAATCCCGGTTCCGCTCTAATTCCATTGCAAACCTGTCAACCTAAATTTTTAAAAACGTTAACATACTTTTAGACAATATGATAATAAAACATCATTAATCATTAATTTTAACTCAGAAATTATCTTCCCATCTGCCAATCTATTCATCCATCTATCCACCTACTTATGTATTGGATATATATTTTCTTGTATATATGGGTATAATTTATTGTTGTTTATTAGGGTTAGTAATTGTTTTTATTTTCACACAAAAAGCCTACTTTTATTCATTGTTTTTAATTTATTTTTTTAAATTTAACATTATTTTTTTTATAATTTATTCATTTTACATTCCGATTGTAGCCCCTTCCTTTGTCTTTTCCTAGTCCCATCCTCCCTCCCTTTTCCTCCTTGTCTCCCTCCCCTATTCCTTAGAAAGGGGAAGCCTTCCACCACTACCATCTGACCTCAGCCTATCAAGTCTCACTAGGACTGCCTGCATCCTCTTCCTCTGTGGCCTGGCAAAGCACCCCCACCAGAGGGAACTAATCAAAGAGCAGAAAACTGAGTCTATGTCAGAGACAGACACTGTTCCCCTTACTAGGGAACCTGCATGGAGACTGAACTGCCTATTGGCTACATCTGAGCAGAGGTAGGTCCTCTACATGCATGGTTTTTGGTTGCTGAATCATACTCTGGAGGGCCCCCTGAGCCCACATTTGTTCTCTTGGTTTTCTTATGGAGCTCCTGTCCCCTCTAGGTACTTTTATTCCCCCACTCCTTCCTATGACTCCCTGCACTCTTGCCGTCTTAGCATCGTTTCAATCCGCTGCTGGGTGGAGTCTTTCAGAAGACATCTATGGTAGGCTCCAATCCTGCTCCCTCTCTTCAGCCACTTTTGGTGTCTATTCTATTTGCCCTTCTGAATGAAAATTAAGCATCCTCTCTAGGGTCCTCCTTGTTATTTAGCTTCTTTAGGTCTGTAAATTGTAGTATGGTTATATTTGCTTATAAGTGAGTATATTACATGCCTGTCTTTCTAGTTCTGGATTATCTCACTCAGGATGATCTGTGCTAGTTCCATCCACTTGTCTGCAAATTTCATGATTTCCTTGTTTTTAATTGCTGAGTAGTATTCCATTGTGTAAATGTACCAGTTTCTTTACCCATTCTTAGGTTGAGGGATATCTGGGTTGTTACCAGATTCTCGCTACTATGAATAAAACTGCTATGAACATGTTTCTGTTGTATGATGGAGCATCTTTCAGATATATGCCCAGGAGTGGTAAAATTGGGTTTTGAGATAGTGCTATTTCCAATTGTCTGAGAAAGCGTCAGATTGATTTCCAAAGTGGTTGTACAAGTTTATATTCCCACAAGCAATGGAAGACTACTCTCTTTTTCCACACATTTGTCAGCATGTGCTATCACTTGAGTTTTTGGTCTTAGCCATTCTGATGGGTGTAAGATGGAATCTCAGAGTTGTTCTGATTTGTATTTCCCTGATGACTAAGGATGTTGAGCATTTCTTTAACTCTTTCTCTGTCATTCAATATTCCTCTGTTGAGAATTCTCTGTTTTATTTTGTATCCCATTTTATAATTGGATGATTTAGTTTGTTGGTGTTTAGTTTAAGCTCTTTTTATATTTTGGATATTAGCCCTCTGTTGGATGTAGGGTTGGTGATGATCTTTTCCCAGTCTGTAGTCTGTCATTTGTTCTGTTGGCTGTGTCCTTTGCTTCACAGAAGCTTTTCCGTTTCAAAAGGTCCCATTTATTAATTGTCGATCTTAGAGCCTAAACCACTGGTGCTCTGTTTAGGAAGTTATATCTTATGCCAAAAGGATCAAGGCTATTCCCCACTTTTTCTTTTAAACAGATTAAGTGCGTCTGGTTTTATGTTGAGGTCTTTTGACTTTAATTTTGTGCAAGGAGATTAGATATGGGTCTATTTACATTTTTCTACATGCAGACATCCAGTTAGACCAGTACCATTTGTTGGAGATGCTTTCTTTATGCCATTGTTTGGTTTGGGTATCTTTGTCAAAGATCAGGTGTCCGTGGGTTTATTTCTGGGTCCTCAAACCGATTCCATTGATCCACCAGTCTATTTCTATGCCAGTACCATGCAGTTTTTATTACTGTTGCTCTTTAGTACAGCTTGAGATCAGGGATGGAGATAACTCCAGAAGATATTTTATTGTAGAAGATTGTTTTAGCAATTCTGGGTTTCTTGTTATTCCATATGAAATTGAGAATTTTTCCTTTAAGGTCTGTAAAGAAATCTGTTGGTAATTTGATAGGACTTGCATTGAATCTGTAGATTGCTTTTTGCAGACTGACCATTTTTACTATGTTAATCCTGCTAAGCCATTAGCATGGGAGATCTTTCCATCTTCTGATATCTTCTTCTATTTCTTTCTTCAGAGACTGGAAGTTTTTTTCATATAAGTCTTTGACTTGCTTAGTTAGTTATACCAAGGTACTTTATGTCCTTTGTGGCTATTGTGAAGAGTGTTGTTTCCCTAACTCCTTTCTCAGCCCTTTTGTCTTTTGTATACAGGAGGGCTTCTGATTTTTTTGAGTTAATTTTGTATCCAGCCACTTTGCTGAAGGTGTTTATCAGCTGTAGGAGATACCCAGTAGAATTTTTAGGTCACTTATGTATACTATCATATTATCTGTGAATAGTGATACTTTGACTTCTTCCTTTACAATTCATATCCCCTTTATCTCCTTTAGTTGTCTTTTTGCTCTGACTGGACTTCAAGTACTATATTGAAGAGATTCAGATAGAGTGGGCAGCCTTGTCTTATCCCCAATTTCAGTGGAATTAAGTTTCTCTCCATTTAGTTTGAAGTTGGATATAGGCTTGCTGTTTATTGCTTTTACTATATTCAGGTATGTGCCTTGAATCCCCGATTTCTCCAAGACTTTAAGCATGAATAAGTGGTTGGATTTTGTCAAATGCTTTTCAGCATCCAAGGAGATGATCACGTGTTTTGTTTTGTTTTGCATTTTCTTTCAGTTTGGATTACATTGATGGATTTCCATATATTGAACCACCCCTGCATGGCTGGGATGAAGTGTTCTAGGTCATGGTGGAGGATATCTTTGATATGTTCTTGGATTCAGTTTGCAAGTATTTTATTAAGCATTTTTGTGTCATTGTTCATGAGACAGATTGGTCTGAAGTTCTCTTTATTTGTTGGCTCTTTGTGTGGTTTAGTTATCAGGGTAACTATGGCCGCACAGAATGAATTTGGCAATGTTCCTTCAGTTTCTATTTTGAGGAATAGTTTGAAGAGTACTGGTATTAGCTGTTCTTTGAAGGTCTCACAGAATTCTGCACTGAAACCATCTAGCCCCGTGCTTTGTTGTTGTTTGCTTTTTGACTGCTTCTATTTCCTTTGGGGATATAGGACTACTTAATTTGTTTACTTGATCTTGATTCAACTTTGGTAAGTGGAAAATTTCCATTTTCAAATTTTGTAGCATATAGGCTTTTGAAGTAAGACCTAATTATTTTTTGGTTTCCTCAGTTTCTGTTGTTACATTTCACTTTTCATTTCTGATTTTCTTGATTTGGATAGTCTTTCTGTTGTTTAGTTAGTTTGGCTAAGGGTTTGTTTATCTTGTAGATCTTCTCAAAGAATCAGCTCCTGGTTTCATTGATTCTTTGAATTGTTTTGTTTCTAATGTATTGATTTCAGCCCTGAGTTTGATTACTTCCAGCCATCTACTCCTCTTGGGTATGTCTGTTGTTTTTGTTTTTTTCCCCCTAGGGCTTTCAGGTGAGCCATTAAGTTGCTTGAATGAGATGTCTCGAATTTCTTTTTGAAGGCACTTAGTCCTATGAACTTTCCTCTTAGCACTGCTCTCATTGTGTCCCATAAGTTTGGGTATGTTGTGTCTTCATTTTCATTGAATTTTAGGAAGACTTTAATTTCTTTCTTTACTTCTTCCCTGACCCAGCTGTCATTTAGTAGCAAGTTGTTCAGTTTACATGTTTGTGTAGGCCTTTTGCTATTTCTGTTGTTGTTGATGTCCAGCTATAGTCCGTGGTGATCAGATAGGATACAAGGGATTATTTCAATCTTCTTGTATCTGTTGAGGCTCACTTTGTGACCAACCATATGGTCTATTTTGGTGGAGGTTCCACAAGGTGCTAAAAAGAAGGTAAATTCTTTTGTGTTTGGGTATAACGTTCTGTAAATGTCTGTTAGGTCCATTTGATTCATGACCTCTGTTAGAGACATTTTTTTGTTGTTGTTGTTGTTGTTGTTTAATTTGTTTTGTTGACCTGTCCTTTGTTGAGAGTGGGGGATTGAAATCTCCCACTATTAATGTGTGGAGATCTGTGTATGGTTTAAGTTTTATCAATGTTTCTTTTACAAATGTGAGTGCCCTTGTATTTGGGGCACAGATGTCCAGGATTGTGATGTCTTCCTGGTGGAATTATTCCTTGATGAGTATGAAGTGTCCTTCCCCATCTCTTTTTTATTAATTTTGGTTGAAAGTCTATTTTATCAGATATTAGACTGGCTAGTCCTGCTTGCTTCTTGGGTCCATTTGCTTGGAAAACCATCTTCCAGTCCTTTACCCTCAGGTAATGTCTATCTTTGTGACTTAATGTCTATCTTTGTGTTTCTTGTATGCAACAGAATGCTAGGTCTTGTTTACACATCCTTTCTGTTAGTCTGTGTCTTTTTATTGGAGAATTGAGTTCATTGATGTTGAGAAAGATTAATGACCAGTGGCTGTTGGATCCTTTGATTTTGATGTTGGCTGTGGTAGTAAGTTTGTATGCTTGGTTACCTTTTGTTTTACTGTAGTGAAGTTAATTATTTCCTGTGTTTTCTTGAAAGTAGTTAGTTTTCTTGGGTTTATTTTTCCTTCCAGTGTCTTCTGCAACGCTGGATTTGTGTGTAGGTATTGTTTAAATTAATTTTTGTCATTGAATATGTTGTTTTCTCTGTCTGTGAGGACTGAGAGTTTTGCTGGGAATAGTAGCCTGGGCTGGCATCTGTGTTCTCCTAGGGTCTGCATGATATCCATCCA